ACAGACAAACCCGTAACAATATGCGTTTTGTACTGCTGTTACACAGCACAAAACGCATAAAAAAAATGATACTTTGGTTGGAGAGGCAGAGAAAACAGTTGAATTACATACCTGAATAGCTACTCCACTGGCAACTGGCTGGTCTAAAGGATTATTCGAATCGGACCATGGTTTCTTGTTTATTTTCCCACCACCTAGTGCAGCTATAGCGGCGGCGTTGGCATCACGGTTTCGCGCAGCTTCCTGGTCGGCTCTCTGGATCTTAACGAAAAACAACAATCAAAATTAGAAATGGAAAAAGTTATTCCTGTGCCAGGCGTTCTCAAGACATTTGGCTAATGCGAACTTCTTAAAGATCTGTGAACTTTTTTGAAAATTTTTTACCAGTACGATTTTTGAAAAATTTTTTTAACCTCACTTTTGCTTGCGAAAAAAATCTACAATACGAAAGCAGCATTTAAACCAGTTTGTTTATTATCCACTTATAATCACTGCGCCTAATCAGTGTGTGTGTGCGTGCGTGTGTTTGCAAGCGTACGTATGCATGTGTGTATATACACAATAAAAACAAACATCCACTTATATTGAAATAAAAGTGAAATAAACCTGTCTTGCTTTCTCAACCAAAACATCCTTGTCCTTTCCTTTGCTTTTACTGAGGCGAATTAGAGCCTCCTTTTCCCGACTCTCTCTTCGTTCATATTCGAGTCGTTCCACCTCTTCCACGAATCGCAGTTGGCGACGAGTATCATCAATGGTCTAAACTGTTTAAAACTAAATAAATTTGTCTAATATAAAAATTTTACATATAAATCGAAAAGTCAAAAATCGTGCCAAATTCCACTCTTCATGAATTTAAAGGCAGTCTAAGTGGTAATTCATCATCAGCAGCAACCAATCGTTAGCAAAAGCGAATTTTGTTCGGGAGTGTTTGTAAGCAGCCTATGATGATTGGACTTCTTGGCTTATAATTTACTACCAAAATGAACCAATAAATTGCAAACCCACCAGCCAAAACGAACTGTTATCCTTTCAATCTATAATTAGCGTTTCTCGCCGCCAAATCAGACTTACGACCACAGCTTTAAACTTCTAAAAAAAAAAAAAATTTGCATACCCGGTAATATGGGTGATTACGAAGGGGCTCGAGACGGTGTTCCGCGACGACAGCCAGTTTGACAAGCATTCCCCGCAGTTTGTGTTCCGCGGCCCGTGATATCATAGCAACAACATCTGGCGTTGGAACGCCCCCCTCCGGCATTGCTCGCTGGATTTTTCTGCAAAAAAACCAAACAAATGAATAATTTAGAAGTTAGTGCGAATTTACCACCGGTTCTCAGTAGTGCCTCTTTGAGCTGTAATTTTAACTGTTCACGAATAGGAAACTGAATGAAGTTCGCATAGAATATACCTTAATATCACTCATGCAAAAGACGATATAAACTAGAAACCTTCAAAATCACTCTACACAGCTAAAGCCCACACAGCTACGAGATGGACCGAAACATTCCAGCTCATTCAGTTTTTTTTTTTTTTAAATAGTTATATATAAGTACAATATATGTACAATATATACATTTGATAGCATGATTTCTATTTAAAATGATACTAGTGAAGCAACGAAGACGGTCCTGCTCACTAATTAAAGACACTGATAAGATCAACCACTTCCGGCTGGAGGCTTTGCAGCAAGCTGTTTTGGTTCAAGCACAACTTTACAATCTGAATTTTAAATTATAAACATTAGTAGATGACGCGGGCAAATCGCGCAATTTCGAGATTTCTGGACGAAAACACTGGCAAAAAAAAATCTGACTTTGCAATGAGCTCGGCGTTCAGGAGTGTGAAGTCAGACTGATTTGCTGGCAGTGTGCGAACCTCCGTTTCACTGAGCTGCTCCTCCACTGACATAGGTCCACTTCCGGCATCACCACTTTTCACAAGGTTGCTACTGCCACCGCCTCCTCCTCCTCCAGCTGTACCCAAATTGCCGCTGATTGTCGGCTGAGCTCCACTGGTCGCTGTCGCCGCTCTCTTCAATAAAATTCACCGAAA